TTCTGAAGTATAATAACTACTTATGCATATCAGCTTATCCCCTATTTTCTTTTCCATACACAATTATACAAATGCTGGGTTTAATTTAGGACTGTATTTCCTTTTCAAACTGGGACTGACAGATGACCCAACTTGTGAAAGGTGCCTACAAGAAGATGAATCAGCCACACACACATCTTATGTGATTGTGAGGCCGTACCTTACCCAAGATATCGCCACCTGGGTCAATTCTTCATGGAACCAAGTGACTTTTATGATGCTCCCATAAAGTCCTACATTTCATTCAAAGTGTAGGATTAATAAAGGGTTAATCCAAAGGGGAAGCACAATAGATCATTGAAGGTCACAGTGCAAGGACCGGTTTCTATGGCTCACCCCTCATACTCATACTCAAACTCAAAAAGTTCAGAATTATAAACAAATGCAATTTCCTTTTACATACAGTATTTGTCTATTGAAGGTAGGTGTCCAAATTATTTTGCTAACACATAATAAAATTCACAGTCAGCTGCACATAAATTGAAAGAAAACACACAGACACTTCACATACATTCCTATACCCCTAAGATTATCCAGTTAAAATGAATTAAAAATATTCAGGTTTACTTCAAAATTCTTGTGAATATATTTTTAGTACCATTCACAAAATAGGCCTATGGTATTAATATTATTCACTACATATGTCCATAACTGAAATAAAAACCTTGGAAATTCGTCACATCACTGTTTCTGATGCCTGTGTCCAATGGTAATATTACAAAAACACTGCAAAATTGTAAAACAGATCGAGAGCATTTCATTTCTACAGCAGATCCATTCATGATGTTTATCACTCGTCCCCTTATCGAGGTTACCAAAAGTCTGACAAGATAGGAATGGGAAACAGTATACAAAACCTGCTACAAATAGTAAAGTACATTTGTTAGAGCAAATTTCAAACAAAGAACTATATTTTTTTAGTTTAAATCCAAATCTAACTTACCTTATGATCATAATGTCTGAAATGGCTGGTCACCTTAGTATAAACAAGGACACATCTTTGTCAGCATGAAACAACTGCTGCATTAAATTAAAATGTGTTTATTTGCTTCCCAAACTCCACATGTGCATTCATGTGTACATGTTCTGTAATGGTGGTCATGTTAATACCAAATTATAATCTGACGAAGTCTGCATGAGATTAGTGGAATTTAAATATAAAAGACAGATCCTGATCACTCAAGCACCTATAATCACTACTTACCACCAAAGGGTTTGGTTGTAAAGGATAAAATATACCATAAAAAAATAACAATAACAATAACATTTTGATCTCTTAACACCTGCTCATAACTTATATCATAATACCTGTTATACATACTGCTTAAAATGAGACACATAAGACCCAAGGGCCATAAAACTTAAGACAAGTGTCCCAGAAAGCCATATCTTTGTGGCAGCTTATGAAATATATATTCATGCTTAGAAAAATATAATACTCTTTCCTAACTGGCACAATAATCAATAAATTAAGAAGTGACACTGGAATATCTACATTTTGATAGTTACTTTTGTTCAGAGAGTATGTACTTCTTATAAAAGTACGTACACGTTTTATATACTTTTCACAAACTTCAATAATTTTGATTACTACATTAGTCTCTTACATTTAGTTGTTTCTTGAAATCATTTTTCTATAACACCCAGCGGTGTGCAAACAGTAAAAGATTCAAACTGCTGATGAACTTTGAATTGGAAGGTTATTTGAAAGTGTCAGTTTTAATAAATGTACACTGTAAATCACAGTCGTTTAACCATGCTTATATATAATTATTCACGTTGTTTTGGCATTTCTGAACCCTTACACTGATAATTCTGTGCACACAAATATATATATATATATTGTATCATGTTATATGTCGTCCATCACTGAGCAATGGCTACAATGGAAACTGTCGAGTTCCCACAGTGACAAGTCGAATACCAAGAGACCGTTACCTAGAAAGAACCGTGGCGATGAGTTATTGAAACAGCAGAATAATGCAGCTCCATGGTAACCAATACAGAACATGTGAAAATGAACCCTGGGGGAAGGTGCTCTCTATTGAGTCTGAAATCAGCCTATAAAAAGGGTTGAATGCATTCACTGAGCGAGTCTTCAGGTAGTCGCAGTTGAAGACAGTTGAGATCCAGCCACGGTCAGAGACAGTTGGAAGATAGCCGCTGCAGAATGCAGTTGAAGTGACACTAATTATACTTGAGTGTGTATGAGTAAGTGTTCAATAAATTCTACTAAATCCGAGACCTACGTGAGGTTATTTGTCGCGCTGCATAGGCAACATGTGACAATATGTTATCAGTGTTTCAAAACTGCAATCAAGGTACCCACATCTATCTTCATACAAGGTTTCATTCATAAATTTTACCATACAAATTTGAATAAACAGAATCTGATCTCTCAATGTTCAGGCGTACAAAAGAGTGGTATCATGTATCTGCAGTACTTTACAAATAGATACTACAATTAAATTAATTTAATTATTTTCAGCATAAAATATAATTATTTGTTAAATGCAGAAAAATATTCAAAGCAAATTGTATTGTCATATTATGAAAATGTTTATAATTTTTGCAGTAATGTAATACCCATATAAAATCATATTCATGGTCGCCCTATACTGTATAATATTTTGTTGTAGCAGAGTATAAAGTTTTCACGAATAATGTCCAAATGACAGGCACATAAGCTAAGATTGTGGTCTTCTGGATTGCAACACTATGTCATGGCCATGCCACAGCTCAAGCAGTTAGTTGCTGGCTTCCCACTGCAGCAGCCCGGGTTCGATCCCAGGTCTGGTCAAGTGGGATTTGTGGTGGGCAAAGTGGCGCTGGGGCAGGTTTTCTTCGAGTACTTCGGTTTCCCCTGCCAATCTTCATTCCACCAATTGCTGCACAATCACCCTCACCTATCATCTGGGGCTGGTACAATAGGCCAGAAGTGGCCGCAGTACAAGGGACTAGCAATAATAATAAAAAAAAAGGACTATGTCACCTTGTGATACAGATTCAAACAAAGACTGGACTGTTGATTATTTCAACATCATGAAACCCAATCAGTGGCAGTAATTTAAGTTCATCACACTCTGACACACAACTAGATACGTTGTGCAAATTTTATATATATATATATACACATATATCATACTCTCGTGATGGTTTATGTGAAAGCAAACACTGCTAATTATGATGCAATAATATTATATCTCAGCATCCTGTTGCACTCTACACGATAAATGATACACACTCCGTCCCAAGTGCAAACAATATATATTATATGTCTTTGATCTTGTTCTCTTCTACACTACATGTTTCGGCCTCTATTGGCCATCATCAGGTGTATACTCTTAACGTTGCTGCCACACTGAAACCCAGTCTAAACTTTAAGATTTAAAAACACATTTTTATTTTCTTCGTATTATCAACATCTACCTCGTTGATATGTGTCTGGTATGTAGATTATATTGCACACGTCAAATTTTCCTGTAGTAGCACTATAAACTCTTTAGTTATGATTTTAAAATCCTTTGAAATTTTCTCTAAATTTTAAAGGATTTTAAAATCATAACTAAATAGTTTATAGTTTACAGTTTAGTTAGAGTTTACAGATTCAACTTTAGTGCCATTGGCAGTATCACAAATACTGGACTGCAATTAACTGGTGACTGACTCACTGCTGGCTAACTTGTAACTCTCTGCTGGCTAGATTGAGAACTGTCTTGAATAGTCTTCGCTGCTCCTTATTTAGCCCTGTTCCGGACAACACAGAAAAGAGCCACGTAACAGCTACCACTCTTATTACCGTCGTCTCTCGCAACCACTGCTGTCTGCCTCCGTGGTAGCCGATAGCCTAGCAACACTGTTGGGAGTTGTTTACTGCTACTTAGCAACTGCGGCATCCCATGTTACGTCACCGCTGTTGACTGGCGTTGCATAGCGGCCAGTATGCTGGGACTTGGCTAACTTCGGCTCCGCTCAGCGCATCACCGCTGGTGGGGGAGGGCGTCATCCATAGCTCAACACGTCACAATATATTACCATACTTTCTGAATTAAAATCCTTTCCTTGGATGTGTAAACTCATGGAATAACAACAAAAATTATAATACCAGCAGCTGGTACACAGTTTTCTCCATAACACAATGTAGGTGTTCCATCAATAACAATGAAAGGGTTAAGACAGTTTCACAGGGAACAAGAACAAGAACAAGGGACTGTTCAAAATAAAAGTCACATACTCTTCAGAACATATAAATTGAATTTCAATAGTGGACCCTAATCTAAGTATTTACCTCTCCACTGTACTCACTATTCATAGAGGTAGACTTCTGTCCACACACTGACATTTTCTTAGATTACAGAAGTAACTGCTGCAGACCCCATCATACTGAGACACAGGGACAACTTTATGTTATTTCATTTCCTGTTTTACTATATGATAAAATGTTGACAATTGTGTGTTTTCAGATCACTTCAAAGTTCATCCTTCTTTTGAATTTCTACTGTTTGGACACCTACGAAGGGGGACCCAAAAATAAGCGGAAACGACCTGTTGCGCGCGCATGCTTTGTAGTTACGAGTTGTGCTGCTAGGTGGTGTTAGCTGGGGGTCTCCCGCGACTGTTAGTGAGCTGGATTAAGTCTGAGTTAAGTGGTTTGTCTGTGATGCACTGTTGTGTGCGTTCCTGTTTCAACCCTTTGGCGATTAGTGAGATGGCCGACCAGAAGGAACAAAGAGTGTGCGTGAAATTTTGCTTTCTGTTAGGGAAAACTGCACTTCACTCTTCAAGTCGCGGCAAACATTCATGCGGTTTTCTCTTTGGTCATCTCCGAGCAAGCGAGGAACAAATTTTGCAGACACCCGTCTCATGTGCAAACCTTCNCGCCAGCTCACTAACAGTCGTGGGAGACCCCCAGCTAACACCACATAGCAGCACAACTCGTAACTACAAAGCATGCGCACGCAACAGGTCGTTTCCGGTTATTTTTGGGTCCCCCCTCATATTTCTTTCAGTTCTTTACAATGTATACCATATGCTTGTTTATTACATGGCATATGGATTACCAGTTAACATTATTCACCTGCTTGACTGGGTCAGTTTGTAACCATATTAATTATTCCAATCATTCAGTTCAGAAGTACTATGTAAGTTGCATTTATGATGGTGAAGAAAGCCGAATACAACTGGAGTATACGCCCATTCAGCAACATCAACCCCCTCCTGAACAGAAACAAATATAATGTGTAGTTAAAGTGCAGGGTGTTGGTTATGTAAAATTACTGTTCATGAAGCAACCTGTCCAAACTGTAACTTATTATTTCTCACCTCTCCAGCTGTATTTTCATAATCATTATACGTATCAGAAAAGTAATTTAATGAAACAAAGTTTAACTAAGTATTTCAAACTCTAATTAGACAACAAATTCTTACTTTACAAAACAATAATAAAACCAATTTGGGTGTATGGAGTGGAAATATGGGGATGTGCTAGCAAAACCAATATTTCCATAATCCAAAGATGTCAGTCAAAGATACTACATATGATTAGTAATGCCCCATGGCATGAAGACCTGAAAGTGCCACTAGTAAAGGAAGTCATAAAAGGGAAAAGCACAAGATACCTCAACAAAATAGAAGGACATGAGAACGTACTAATTCAACCATTACTGGAACCACACAATGAACGAAGACTAAAAAGGAATTGGCCGGCTGACCTGAGAGAGGGTCAACGAGGATTTATTTCTGGATAAGCCCTCTCCACGTCACGAAGAATACTACAGCTAATTAGCTTATGAATCAAATGTAATTCTGATTGCTAATTTTATGTAAATAAAAAAGAAAGTTTAACTTAAAAACTTTCTGTAAGTAAATTCAAACATACAATACAATCCTTTCATGGCACAAGAAATATCTGCCCAATAACCAATTATCACCCACCTCTGGAACTAATGCTGTCAACAACTACAGCTGAAGTGATCTGCTGTTTGAGTTGGCCACCTGCCCAGTACATCCATACAAAACAGTTTGGATATAACTCCACAAGAAGTCAAGGGACATGAAATTTGGTGATTCTGGAGGCTCCATGATGGGACCTCACTTCCATGCTCATTCACCTATTCTTTGATGACAGAAGTCAGGGGAGATATAATAAAGAGACAGAGGATCTTAATGGGCATATTTCACCAGTACAGTTGATGGAAATAAACAGGAACACCAATATGGGCTCATGGCAGAGGAGGAGGGAAAAATGAAGAGGTGGGGGGGGAGTAAATTAAAAAAGAGGAGTGTAAGACATGCAAAGAGGATGGACGCCTAACATGAGCAGTGTCCAGGCCCTGAAAAGGGCAATGTACACCACGTCTAGCAGCCTGGTTTGAGTACCCCTCACAGGAAATTCTATGAAGAAGGCTTCCTGTATTCTCTAGGGTGTAGATTCAAGGTTTCCATGACCTGTCTGGGCAGAAACCATGTTCTCATTTCATGTTACTCATGTGGAGCTCTATTTGAGTTACCTCCCTGATGATGCTGCCCATGAGAACGGATTTGGTACAGAGGATACTGGTGTTCTGGATTTTGTTGAAGAAAATGTTCCAAGCTGATACCATGGCTAATGGTGTTCACCATCCCTGGCCTCAATTGAATGGCTGGTCTGTCCAATGCAAACTTGCCAACACTCACAAGAATGCTGTATACTCCCAGTGTCTGCAGTCCTAGACCAACCTTGACCACCTGAAGAAAGCTGGAAATTTTCCTCAACAGGAGGACTTGATGTTTTGTCTGGACAGAAACCTGCTAATGCTAATTTAACTGATGAAGCTCAGTACCAATTTGAATTTCAGAAACACTTACCTTGAACACATGTCACAATATTTCGATTGTTTTTAACCTACTGACTAGTAGATTCATCCGCAGTGTCTTCTGATGACAATTTCTTTCCCTCATTCAGTTCTGTTTGAAATGAATGGATTTTAAAGTGAAGCCTTGATTCCAGTGAATATCCAGTATAATTTTTTCTGCAAATATGAAAATAATAAAAGTTATATTATCACATATAATGCACAACTGATAAAATGTGATAAATGGCACAGTTCAATACGTGACAGGTAATCAGAATAATATACAAGGTCCTGTCGGAAAGTTTTGGCACTGTTAGTGTTGTACCTGCCTTGGTGAAAGAAGATGACAGAGGATGCCAAGGTCACACTTCCACAAGCCTATTACATCAGTCTGCCACATGACACCACACTGTGTACGTGCATCGTTTTTAAACGAGTGCCTTTCTGACTTCATATTTTGTTTTGTCTGCGACAGATGGCAAAATCGAGCAATGTGTCTGCATCAAATTTTGTGTGAAGCTCAGTAAATCCACTACTAAAACCCCTGAAATGCTTCATGGGGTTTTGGATACAGCAGTTTTTGAATGACATTCATGTTTCAAGGCTGGTCGAGTGTCAGGTGAAGATGATGAACATTCAGGGCAACCAACCACCAACAAAATGACAGAAAATGTTGAAAAAATTTGAGAACTCATCCATGAAGACCACTGCTGAACAATCCTTGAGCTTGCAGACACCATTGGCTCACTATGTAGTGTGATAGGAGCCCTTAGAAAATCTGAACATGCACCACAGTACTGCAAAGTATGTTCCCTGATTCTTGACAAATGATCAAAAGCAACGGTATGAGAACGTGTGTCTTGAGCTATGAGAGAAGGTTGAGGACCCAACTTTTATCTCTAGGATCATAACAGGTGAAAAAAGTTGGATTTACTCTTACAGTTATGATCCAGAAACAAAGCAACAATCATCACAATGGAAGAGCCCACAATCACCAAGAGCAAAAAAGGTGCAGCAGGTCTGGAGTTCAACAAAGAGCATGTTCATTGTTTTTTCGATAATAGGAGGATTGTTTACCATGAATTTGCTCTTCCTAATACTACAGTCAGCTCTTACTTTTACTGTGAAGTTTTGAGATGCTTGAGAGAAAAATACCAGAACTTTGGTGCAACTACAATTGCCTCCTTTGTCATGACAAGACGCTCACCCACACATCTCTGAAAACCTCAAAATTTATGACTAACAACAACATGGTTATCATTCCCCATCCTCCCTACTCACCGGATTTAGCCCCCTGTGATTTCGCTTTGTTTCCTAAATTGAAAATGAACCTGAAGGGACAATGTTTTGGAACAGTGTCTGACATCCAACGGGAATCGCAAGTGGTACTCAGGAGCATTAAGGAAAATGACTTCCACGGTGCTTTGAAGTGCGGAAGAAATGATGGGATTGCTGTATACAATCCCAAGGAGACTATTTTGAAAGCGATGACAGCCAAAATTGAGTAAGTTAAGCCGGTATTTCTTTTTAGACCAAGTGCAGGAACTATTCGACAGAACCTCGTAATGCTTCACAGATTCTCAAAATGTTTTTGTAATTCCTTAATTAACCTATATAAAAACAATTATGAAACTGGGAATCTGTGATGTACAGCAGAAGGACAGAAACATACCGAAGTTGTTAGGCTCGATATTCAAAAATTACAGCCATCATCATCAAGAGAGTCGCCTTACTGAATGCCAGAACTTAAAAACTCTTCCCCTCCCATCAGACACATATATAGAAAGGGTCTGGATAGGAAGATAGGAAGTCATGCACAAAAATCGATATATTCCTAACCTCACACCTGGCAATTTCAACATGTTCTGGCCTCAGAAGAAACTAATCAGCAAGATTCTATAAGTTCACGAAGTGGATCAAGAACTGTTTCATATGAATACAAACATACAAACACATGCATATGGAAACACACTCAAACAGCACATGGAGTTATGGCATACTGTTATTGAAAAACTGGCTGCTTCTAGTGAAGCAGCTAGCGTTGGACATGTTCCATCACAATACATTTGCAAAAGTTTCAAAAATATATTTTTTTTTATGGGAACATATCTTATTTTGTTCCTCTGCAATCTAATTACAAGAGGCAGCAGCAGGGATAGCATAACTGGTATAGCGACTGGCTACAAGCTGGATGACTGAGGGGCTGGAGTTCGAGTCCTGGTAGAGTCAAGAATTTTCTCTTCTCCACATTGTCGAGGTCCACCCAACCTCCTATCCAATGGGTACCTGGGGCTCTTTCCCCAAGGATAAAGCAGCCGGGGAGTGAAGCTGATCATTCACCTCCAACTAGTGCTGAGGTGAAGAAAAATATGGATCTATACATCCACGTCCCCATACGCCTTCATGGAATACTGCTTAATTAGTTAAGCACAGGGACAACTTTACCTTTACTATATGAGGCAGGGTATTCTAGAGAAGTCGGCAGAAGATATTCAGTTGGTCAGATAATTCTGCTTTATGATAACCACAGGTTCTTTATCACATTTGCAAACGCCCATCACTAGATTAATTTCTATGCCAACTGAATCCAGTCCAAGCCTTCACATTCTGCTTCTTTAGGACTCATTTTAATACTGACCACTTATATATGCCTAGATCTCTTAAGCAATTTCTGCCCTTCTAGTTTCTTGATTAATTGCCACTGACAATCAGATTCCAATGCACTTCTAATCTGCCTGAGGGGCAAAAAAAAGTAAAGCTATCCCTGTACCAGGCCGTGAAGGCCCATAGGGTTGTGAGACGTTGAGGGTCCCACATTATCTAGACAATCAGCTCAAAGATGGCGGTAAGGTTGTCAGCCTTACACGCCAGCCACCCTTTACAACCCAGGAAAATTATTTAATTAATTCCTGGTACTCATTTCTGTTAGAGGCTGAGTCAACCCCAGGGCCATTGCAGCTGGAAGGATTAGGTAAATTGAAAAAAATCGAATGACCTCACTGGGACTTGAACCCATGACCTTCCGGCTTGTAGCATAGTGCCTCAACCAACTACACTACCGCATGGCCCCACAAAAGGTGAATATTAATTTGAAAACCTGATTTACTACTCGAATCATAAACTCTTCTGATCTTAACACACTGAGAGACGGAATGAAAAGGCAGGGGATACAGTATATATAAAGATTTGTTCTAAACATCCCTTTTAGAAAGGCCATGTCTCAAAAAGTGAAGATCACATTACTTGTACCCTACGGAACTTGTGCATTCAGCAACGTGCATTCCAGAACAAGAGACACAGCACAAAACACAACAAGAAAGAACACAACCCACCAACCCAAACACATCGAGAGGACCTATATATTTAACATAAGCAACAACAAAAGACAGCAGTTTCCTCAGCAAAACTTTTAACACCAGATGATGACCATATTGGTCAAAACATGTAGTGACGGACTTCCAAACTTTCAAAGTTAATAAATTTTATTGAAGATAGTGTTGCATGTGAGACCATAACTAATCGACAATAAATGAGTATATGTATTAATAGATAGTGCCTGCCACATGATACACATTAACTGCTGCAAATTCACTGGGTATTTATGAAGTTTATAGCTCATTTCTTGTTGCATAACTTCCAAGCTTTTGAGGACTTTTATTTCCCTTCTCAGTGCACACTTCCAGTTAGTCCAAGCCAATTTATAATTCTATGTTGCAGATTAATATAATGTTGGAGTTGTCTTTCAGTACTTTGGTGAGTTCCCAAGGATGTAAGGATGTGTTAAGTGTAATACAGCAGGTCTGAAGTAGAGGCCGAGTGATGATAAGACGTAGTATACGTCCTCGTCAAGCGGCCTCCGTAGTCTAGGGGTAACGTTCCCACCTCATGACTCAAGGTATGTGGGTTCAAACTCAGCGGAGGTCGTGGAATTTTTAAGGGTGGAGAAATTCAGGGAACAAGTCCTCCGGGAGGGACTTTAAGCTGTGGGTCCCATGTCGTAGATTTACAGCACATAAAAGATCCTCATGTCTCTAGGAGACCTCTGAGCAAAATTAGGCAACAAGTTTCCCGCCCAAGTAGTTTCCAATGCCTCCAGTAGATAGGGGAAATATCAGGTACCGAGGACCGACCTCATTGGCTGAACGGGGCTGATAGTACACACCAGTACCGGTAGGGTATGGCGACAGTAGAAATTAAAGGGGGACGCACAATGGACCAATAACTAGTCTAAGTGCATGGGGAAACCCACCCCCTCTAATAATAATAAATAATAATACGTCCTCATCGAAATAACTGAGACAGTGGAAAGTATGTGTATCTGAGAGCAAGGGCTGAAGTGTAACATAGTATGATATGATGAATGTCCTTGTGGTGATGTAGTCTGTACACATGTACTGGTGGAAACAGGCAGTGTGTGATTATGAGCAAAAAAAGCAAGGCTTTTTCCTTAATTTTGTGAGACTGTTAGCCTCAGAACCTTGACTAACATAACACAAATGGGACATAATCATATAAAAATCACTGATACAGATATAATGGGAAACACCTAAAAGCATAGCAGTAAAAGCTATGCCTGAATCATCCACATTGCAGTAAGTACACATGTATATCACAAAATACACATAATCAGTATTAAAGTGGATTACAAACTGCTTTAGTTATGTTAGTATTTTTTTTTATTGTGGTTCTGGGTAAAAACTGCTGCAATAGTACATAAATTGTTTTCTCTACAGGCTTCGTGCTCACCAAATCTCTGCTAAAATTTCAATGTGCTTTACACTAGTGCACCAGTAAAAGAGCTACACAGTTCACAAGCTGTAAATATAAGCAGAATTATTATTAAAATTATGGACACCTCCTTACTGAAACACTACACTCAATGCACAAAACAACTTCCTTACGATATTACAACTATTCTGTCTGCCATTACATGACTGCAGGGCTTGAGGGCAGATGGATTGCATCACCTGGCCTGCACAATATATTCTTAGTGGAGTGAGACTGAGTCCACTACTGGCCTATTGTACCAGCCCCAGATGACAGATAATGGTGACTGTGGGGGCAACTGATGGAATAAAGATTGGCAGGGGAAACCAAAGTACTTGGAGGAAACCTGCCCCAGCATTAGAAATTTCCCCACGGGTGACATACCTACACAAGTATCTGTCAAGCTCTAATATAAGTCGAGTTAAGTTCAGTGCAGTGAAGGGCAGAAGAATGAGTAGTGAGTGCTCAACTAATCAGCACAGTCAGTCAGTGAGTCAGCACGTTAGTTCATGAAACAGTTTTCAGTTCAGAGAAACTGAGAGGAGAGAACAGGTGAATTCAGTGACCGGGCAATGGTATTGCCGTAAAGTAATGAGTGAGCAGAGAACTGGTTTCAGGAGCATACATTATTACGGACAGTGGGACAGTTAAGTTCTCCATAAATCAATAGCTGTTACAATATATTTTTTTTCTTCCTGTGGTGCTACAGCCCCAATTTGGGCCTAGGCCTACCTCCATGAAACTCTCCATTTCACTTCAGTTTACTAGCTCTTACAAATACAGTAGGACTGCTTCGGCGAGTGATCAGCTCGTCGCAAGACCTCTACCTGTAGACAAACACAGAAAAATGCACACAAACATCCATGCCCTGAGTGGGATTCGAACCCACGCGATCCCAGCTTCCGAGCGAGCGAAGACAGTGCACGCCTTAGACCGCTCGTCTACTGTGACTGGCGTTACAATATCTAGACTATGCCAAAGAAAGGTATGGGATATAACTCATTCCATGGAACAAGGTCAGGCTACTAAGTCTGCTAACTGTTGCTCAGCTAGTCAAGATATTCTCCCTTTCATGAAACATGAAAAATCATTACAACGGTTACAACAGCCTACCACTTATCCCTGTCCTGAGCCAGATGATTCTAATCCACTCTGTCACATGCTGTTTCTTTAAGATGGAATTTATTATGTCCTCCCATTTATACCAAGGTCTCTCAAGTTACCTCTTCTTTTTGAGATTTACACTAAATTTTTAATGAAGTTCTCATTTCTCATGTATGCTACATGCCCTGCCAAACTGATCCTCCTTGCTTTAAACACCCCAATAATATTTCATGAAGAGTATAATTTATTAAAATTCTTGTTATTCAATTTTCTGCAGCCTTCTCTCTTACTGGGCCCAAGTATTCTTGTTAGGAGAAAGTATGAATATTGTAACGTGGATGGCGCAACAGGTAGTAGGGGTCACATGAACTCTGCATTTCCACAAGTGACATCACACACCCCCACTCCTCCCATCATTATGCAATGCTCGGTAAACATCCCTCCCCACTAGGATGTGACATCACACAACAGGCGAATCTGTGAAGTGACTGTTGCTAGGCAATCGGTAAACACGATGTTATGCAACAGCAGTAGCTATCACGTAACTGTTTTCTGTGTTGTTAGTGCGGAAGCTACATAATGAGGAGTATTCGTCAGAGAGAGCCAGTTACTAGTATTCAGTATGAGTTGAAGTCCAGCCGCTGTGAGTTGAGTTGTATCGAGTGAATGGCAGTGACTACAGCAGGAGAAGTAATTGTGAAATTGTGAATTGTGTATGTGTAAGAGCAAATGTGCAATAAATTCGCTAGATCCAAGATGGCTTGAAGTTATTTGTCACGTTACAAACACCCAACATGTCACAACATTTTAATTGAAACACTACAAATATATATATTGGAGATAACATCATTACCAGTAAACAAATTTGCAATGCTTTCTGAAGAAATATGAACTCCTTACTTTGCATCCTCTAGTAGCTGAGATGCTTTAGTGAGGTTCCCCTGCTCTCTGAATAGCAGTGCAAGCTCTACCAATGCATATGGTATTAAGTAAAGGTCCTCTCTTAGCTTCTTTTCTAGCAAAAGTACACTATTCAGACATTCCTCTGCTTGCAGTGGACTCTGCATCTGCCGCAGACTTGCTCCTTTCAACAACAGCACCAGGGCTCGGTTATCTGCATCGAACTCCTGACGCCCTGCAGACAAAAATTTAGTGAAATTTCACCTAACTTGCATTTTACAATATGACAGATTTACATGGGATGAAATTCATACTAAAAAGCAACAAAAAATTTCTTAAATGTACTACTTCTCAGGGGATGAAATTAAACCCTCAATTCAGTATGTAAATACAAAGACTTAAATTTAACAAACCATGAACAAAGAAAATCATTTTAACAACATTTTGTTTACAACATAATAAGTATTTCTCAAGTAACTTCAGTGAGACCTGACTCTGCGACATTTCACTTCTATTTCTTTTGTAAACACAATATCAACAGTACTGGTACTTTTCAAACAGACAAAAAATATGCTGTACTTGAGAGAAATGGATAAGAAATTAGGAGTTCTGTTTTAAAAACAAATATTAGGCATAAGAAGGATTTATCAAATACTCATTGACAGGCACCTCTCACTTAACACATACAAATGAGCCAATATGATTTTCTGTCACACAGAATTACTTGGTTTTTGGACTTTTTCCATTGTCCGGAATTCTAGGTAATAGAGGACACAACGTTTCGGAAACTGGATCTGTTTCCGTTTTCAAGTGAGAAAAGAAGACACCTACTCAGTTGGACTCACTGGACCAGTGATTGAGATTAGCTCTTTCTAAGGGGCCCAACTGAGTAGGTGTCTTCCTTTTTCACCTGAAGATGGAAACAGATCGAGTCCTCTATTACCTAGAATTCCGGATGACGGAAAAAGTCCAAAAACCCAGTAATTCTGTGTGTCATCCAACATCGTCAGCACCCTTTTTAATCTACATGTAAAGTAAAAAAAGTAAAGCTATCCCTGTAGCAGGCCATGAAGGCCCATAGGGTTGTGAGACGTTGAGGGTCCCACATTATCTAGACAATTGGCTCAAAGATGGCGGTAAGGTTGTCAGCCTTACTTGCTGGCTGGGCTTTACTCCCCAGGAAAATTATTTAACTCCTGGTAGTCATTTCTGTTAGAGGCTGAGTCAACCCCAGGGCCATAGTGCGGCTGGAAAGATTTGGTCAATTGAAAAGAATCCAACGACCTCATCGGGACTTGAACCCATGACCTTCCGGCTTGTAGCATAGCCCCTCAACCAACTACGCTACCGTGTCCCCCTAGAATGTAAATGTTCTTCTGTATTTTTAAGTCACAAGGATCTTGAAGACATTTTATTCAGTACATAAACTTATTTAACTTCAAAGTTACTATCAACTGCTATAATTATGTGTAGTTCAAGAAACTTCTAAATAATCCAACTGTAACCGCTCCACTGTCTCTCACCAATTTAGGTATAATTAGAATAATCAGTAATAAAAATTAAGTGCAGGTAACAAGTAATACCAAAGCCAAGTGGGACATAGTCACATTCTTGTTTCCAGGAATGGACTTATTCCAAATCTTGATGTTACATAGGAAACACCCCCTGTGGCTTTTTCTGAGAAATTCTGTTTGTAAGTAGCATGGCGGCAAACTTTGAGAATTCAATCACTGACAGGTCCTGCATGTCGTAACTTAAAAGTAGGCGGTTTTGAAACCCACGCCAAGCAGGTTATCTGTCAGTGCACTGTCAAAAACAACGTTAGGACTTTAAGGTTCAAAGCCCCAAATTGCAGCTAGCTGATTGGAGATTCAGAAATTGTGTAAACCCCAGTTCTCAAAATTACCCAATCAGTGGAATTAAGGGGGAGTGACTTAGCAGAGGAACTGCTAAGCATAGGTTAAATGCTCGGTGAGGAATATCAGTAGTATTCTCTGTGGGCATATATTGATAACCTATATTAAATCTGGGTTATGACTTCTTTTCTTATAGTTCTCATAGCAGTGAATGTGAAGAACACATTCTTCTGGGTTGTAATGCAATGTAGTTTAGAGACAGCCTGAAATTTTTGGAGGACCTGTCTCCACCTCCAGGGTCAAAAGGCAAACCAAACAAGATATCAGCAGCAAACAGGAAGCTGAGCTTGTTCCTCCAAAATATTGTGCTCTCCTTAAACTGCACAACATGAGGACCTATATGACCATATTGTTTAGAGTATAACAAGTTCTTCTACTAACAAACAGAGCATTAACTAGACAGTACATCTCTCAGATCACAAAGCAGAAAGCTATTATGTGGAATCTTACTTTTCTGAGCATCAAGCATAGCTAATGTCTTCTCGGTCATCTTGTACACATTCTGTATCAGTTCACACTTCTTGCCCAATACTTTAAATAAATTCCACACATACATGAGCTCCAGGGCTGGTAGAACCAACATTTTCTTCTGAGCAAAGAAACGCTCAGCCTTCTTCACTGCAAACTTCTCCATTGGTAAGGACTTCCCTGCAATCCTCTGCTTCCACTGTGGGGCATCTCTGCATGAGAAGTTTACAGATTAAATCAGGGCATTCGACTGACATTCATAACTTTAAACCATGCATCAATTATCCCACTCAAACTAAAAACTGTTTCAAATATTAACCGATGAAAATATGAAATTAAGAAAGGTTATACATGACAGACCTATCAGCATAATTTTCAGTTAACAAAATATTTTAACATTTAAGTTCACAGTACTAAACTCAGAACTGTTCACAATAAACATACTTCATGTTAAGGATTTTTTTAATTCGCATAGTGGGGGGTGGAGTCCAGCTGGGACCTCTCAGCAAGTCTGCCACTGATTGTTCTATTGTACCTGCCCTGGGTGATTGTGATGATGGAGAATTTGGTGGAATGAAGATCGGCAGGGGAAACTGAAGTACTTGGAGAAAACCTGCCCCAGCGCCACTTTTCCCACCACAAATCCCACTTAACCAGACCCAGGTTTGAACCCAGGCCACCGCGGTGGGAAGCCGGTGACTAACCGCTTGAACTATGACACAGCCTACTTCATATAGAGTACATTTGAAACTTACATTTTTATTTTATAATTCTTTTATAATGAAAATGATCACAAATTAAAGAGACATTTTGCTTCTACATTATTGAATTGAATTTATTTACATTCTATAAATCCTAAGTAGGTTAGTACCTTTGGATACAGAACAAGTCAAAAGGTTACGTACATAAGTACAGGCAATTTTAGCTTAAAAATTAATATAACTTAATTTTACATCATTCTCTATTTACATTGAAGTATTCATCTAAAGAGTAGAAGGAATGAGCATGTAGATAATTCTTTAACTCTGATTTAAACTTTTTAGTATCATTGCCCAAGTTTTTAATACTTTGTGGCAGATTGTTGAACACTTTTATGCCAGTAAAGTAGACTCCTTTTTGATATACTGATAAAGTTGATGAGGGTAGGTGGAAGTTATATTTTTGTCTAGTATTCATGTTATAGACATCAGAATTTAATTTGAATTTATCTTTGTTGTAAACAACAAATAAG